GCGGGGTCCGGGCTGCGAGGCGCGCCGGGCCCCATCCGAAGAGGCTGCAGAGGGTCTCCTACTCCTGGGAGCCAGGCATCAGGCTTCCGCGGTTCCGGGTGCCCCAAGATTTCTCCACGCTCTAGGAAAGGCCCCCTAGCAAAGGACTCAAGCCAGAAGAAGTGCTTAGGCGCCCCAACTCTGGTCGAACTGACCAGATGAAGGAGAGAAACCTAGATGGCTTTAGCGAATCTGTTGACCTGCAAATGTCAAAAGCCTTTTCTTTGAAACTCTGCAGCATGGCTTTGTAGGTCTGAAGAGGATTGGGAAGCAAGACAGTATTGTTTCAAGGTTCAAACCTTTTGACTTTGGGTAACAATTCCAGGTTTTCTGTTGAAGGGAACTTCCTGTTGTAGCAGGGGTGTGCAGGCAAGCTTCAGGTTGGGCCTCTGCCCCTCTGGGAGCCCTATGACTTTGAAAGACCACAAAGAGTAACCTCCTTTTATTTTTTTATGTCGGGAATCCAACTCGGGACACTGGCTTGCCAGGCAGGCGCGGTACCACTGAGCGACATCCGTGGATCCAAGAGTAATCTCCACTTGATACGGAAATTCTGAGGTAGCATCGCATGAAGCAAGAACTCCTAACTTGGACGTGTATAATTCATTCTTCTGATGGAAGACCATTCACTTTTCCCTCACAGAGGCCTCACTACTAGTCAGGGAACCCTGCAGCCAGCCACAGGCAGAAAATGCCACTCTAGTGGTCAACCCAGGGATTCCAATGGTTGAGGGCCTTCAACCCCAGGTCACCCTCAGGAGAAATAACGATGACTACAACAGTGCCCATAATGCCTGAGCCCTTCACAAATACTGTGTTTCTGTTTCTGCTGTCTGACTCAGACTTTGTCCTCCAAGGGAAACAACGGCTTAAGAGCAAAACAATAAATGAGAAAGGGCAAAACAGTAAATTGATTTAAATAAAATCAGCTCCAATTCTCTTCCAGAGAGGAGGACAGGGTGCAGGCCTCGTGGTAAATCATTTATTCATCCACAGTATTTCTTGGGATGCTAAGTGCAGCTGGCAAGAATGTGACCCATTTCCAGCTCCATACCGTAAATCAGCTCACGTGATCTGGTTATGCTTGGGCAATATTTTAAAACATTCAAGCACAAATTAATATATTATTACTTAGCTTTGAGATGAAGCAAATGTGCCTATTTTAATGAAGAAACCCCTTCTCCAGTCTGCCTTGGGGCTTTCTCCAACACACTTTGCTTTTTTCTTGTTAGGCCTTTTTATGGACCTGTAAGAAGCTTTAATTAGATATACAGCACTGTACAAAATGACAAGATGGAACATGCACACTTGCATTAGAGTCTCTGTGATTCAGATCTCAAAAAATAACATGATGCCACTGATACACAGAAGGAAGCCAGGGAGGTGCAACAAATAAATCAAGATGTGAAAATTAGGCAAACTCCTGAAAGAATTGCCATTTGTATTTTGGAACTCTCCAAAGTAGCATGTGTAACAAGGTCATCTTCTCTAAGTATTGTTGGTTTTCATAGTTTTTTTAAAAAAAATTTAAGGGCTGAGGCTATAGTTCAGTGGTAGAGCACTTGCCAAAATGTGAGGCCCTGGTTTCAGTCGCCATTGCAGCAAAAGTAAATAAACATAATAAATATATTTTATAAACCATTCATATACAGCTCAATTTCGAGTATTTGAATAATCATTTAAGTGATGAGTACATTTTTAATTTTGTATGTTAATACTGGGTCATTCTAAATCCTAGCTTCGTGCCAAGTGGTACCAAACTAATCCTTCCTGGAATGGCTGAGTTTCTCAGAGATCTTTTCTAACCACCTCTTTGGCATCTGTTAACATTTCCTCACATTTTTTAAAATCCAAAATGTCACTTAAAGCCCAGTGTGATTGTGTGTTTGTATGTGTGTGTGTGGATTGGTGTACACATGTGTGCAATGTAATTCTGATTGTTGCTAACAAGAAGTGAAAGACTTTGCTTACTGATTCAATTTACTTACTATACTCCTTGTTTAACAATGGAGTTCTGGGCCTGTGAGGAGGCTGTGAAATGAATTGATTAAATATGTACATTACAGTAGTTAGAACAAAGAAATGGTCAGAGAAAACTCCAGCTTGGTGACTATGTTTTTATTTGCATAACTCTTTCATGCAGTACTGTAATGTATAACAGAACATAAAACTTACAGGACTGTATAGCACAGTCAGAAAAAATTACAGTACTGCGTAAACAGCTAGAAAGAGACACAGCTTTAAAAAAAGACACTGAGGTTCTATAAACAAGATGTACAGAACTGTACAAAAAAGGACAGGTCATAAGTCCAAACGGTTGCTCAACAAGGAATATCTGTGTTCAGTATCTCTAGTTCTTCTTGACTTAAGTGTATGTACCTATCTCTAAGAGTGTGTATCTTTTACGATGTCTAACTTGTCGCCGTGAGTTGTTCATGACATTTCCTTACAAGCGTTTTGATTTTTGCTGGGTTGACAACGATGGGTCTTCTGACCTCGTGCCCCTCCATATCACTCTCTCTCTCTTGCTTTTCTTTCTCATGCTCATCAGGCTAAAGGTTTATTCGTTTTGTGTTCTTCTCTAGAATCAAGTTTTATTCTCATTGTTTTTCTCTATTATGTTTGGTTTTCTTGATTTCCACTCTGATATTTATTATTTCCTATCTTCATTAATTTATTCTTCTTTTGAAACTCTTCTTTTTTGAATTAGGCTTTAAATCTTTAAATTGACCTTGAAATCTTTCTTACCCAAATCTTGTGAATTCTGATTGGGTGTGTTTTGGTTTCCATTTATTTCAAGTATTTTCTAATAATATGTGTTCTTTGATCCATAGGCTGCTTAGAAGAAGCATGTTGTTTGACTTCCTAATATTTGGGAATTTCACTGTTATTTATGTTATTGATTTTTCATTTTTTTCCTGTCATTTTCAGAGAGCAGTTTGATGATTTTAGTTTTCTTAAGAAAAATTTGGAATTGTTTTACAGCCTAACATACAGTCTATCCTAAAGAATGCTATATACGTACTTGGAAAAAATATGTATTCTGTAAAAATAAATGCTGGTGAGGATGCAGGGTAAAAAGAAGCCCTTCTGCACTGCTGGTGGGAATGCACATTAGTACAGACACTGCGGAAATCAGTATGGAAACTCCTCAAAAACCTAAAAATAGAACTACCATATGACAAAGCTATACCACTCCTTAGTTTATACCTAAATGAATTAAAGCCAGCATCCTATAGGAATACCTGCAACCCTGTGTTTATCATGGTATAATTCACAGTAGTCAAGTCGTGGAACCAGCCTAGGTGTCCATCATGAGATGAATGGATAAAGGAAATGCATTATATTTTATGTATACATTATATGTTATAATATAAATAATATATAATGGAATACTATTTAGCAGTAAAGGAGGAAGTATGTCATTTGCAAGAAAATGGATGGAACTGGAGATCATTATAAACAAAATAAGCCAGACTTAGAAAGACAAGTACCAGGTATTCTCCTCAGTACGCAGGAAAGTAAAACTAATGGCAGGAAAGTAGAAGGGAAGCTATTACTAGGCACGAGGAAGGGGTATGTAAGGGAGGGTAATAGGAAACATGGAGCTGATGAAAATACATGCATACATGAAAATATCACCTTAAAACCCAACATTTTATAAAATTGATAGACACTAAAAATAAAGTTTAAAAACAAGAAGTGTGCATTCTGTTATTACTGGATGGAGTGATCTGTATCAGTTC